CCCTGCCCGCCTGCCGAAGCAGCAGGATGACGTCCCCCGGCCGTGTCGGGCCCTCGCAGAGCCACCGTGGCCCTGTCCTGGGGACTCTGCCCTGGTGCTGGGCTGCAGGGACGGAGTAGCTCTGCGTTCCTGCCCCTCTGCGCCACTTTCCGCTCTGGCAAACTCGGCCTCGGGCTTGCGGGTTTGGGGATCCCCGTTGGCCCCTGGGGGCTGCATCACCTGCAGCCCCATAGCCTCCCTTGGTGCGAGGCTGGGGAAGGAGCTCAGAGAACGGAGAAGGAAGGAGCTCAGAGAACGGAGAAGGAGGCAAATGAGACGAGGAAAGAGGTGGAGACAGGGAGCCGCCTGTGCTTCCTGGCCTGCTGCAGGAAGAGCATGGCGCCGGGCCCCTTCTCCCTGCCCGCTCCGCGGGCCCCTTCTCCCTGCCCGCTCCGCGGGGACGGTGCTGTCACAAGGAGCAGGAACTTCCGCAGCAGCCTGGGATCGGCTCCGCAGTGAGGGACGGAGATACCGGAGCAGATAGGCCCAGCCCTGGGGTCTCTGTCTTCCCTGCCCTCTTAACCAGTGGACCTTAAGAGTACATATACAGGCACCCGGCTTATAGACCCCCAGTCCTTTCCTAAGCCTTGTACTTTATGCCTCTACCTGCAGTCTCCCGAGGATGCTGTGGTCGCACTGCGGGCAGGGGAATGTGCTCCTAGCCACGGGGCAACCAGTCCGTGTGAGCAGATACTGCCAGTGGGGAGGGAGATATAGCTCCCTGAGGCTGGAGAGAGGAAGAGGCCATGCTGAGAGAGAAGGATTGCGAATGTCTCCCCCAAACTGATGAGGTTTGGAGTCTGGCCGTGGGGTTGAACCGCCAAGACGGGGGCTGCCGCGGGGCTGCCGGGTCCCGCGTGGCCGCTCATGCAGGGAGGCGGCAGCTGTGGCTTGTGTGACTTGGAGCCGTCCCAGGAATGCGGAGGCTGCTGTGTGCACACAGCGACTACAGGGTTACGCAAGTGCCTCCCGAGCGGAGAGTCCCTTGATGCTGCAGGCACCCTCCGGCCGGGCCGCTGCAGGTGGCAGCTGGGCTCGGGCCCGGGGTGGGTGCCCAGGTGGCGGCAGGGTGAATGTGAGCGACCCGCGCAAGCCCCCGCGTTGCGGGACTGCTTGTCTGCTGCTGGTGATACCCGCTCCAGTCTATTAATAGATACAGCTTAATGACTGAAAGGCATTTTAATAAATTTTAGCTCTGCCTCGATCTTCCTGAAGGTAAACAGTGATTTATACTACTTGGGCAGCAGACCCACATCCCCCCGAAGGAGAGCTTGGGAAGGGGGCGGGTGGGGACCCCTGTCACCCAGCTGTGGCAGTGCCTGGAGCCCAGCAGAGGATACGGGGAGAGCTGTGGGTGCCCACGCAGGTGCAGCCCCTGTAACCAGTAGCTGCTCTCTGGCAACACGTTTGCTCAGTGCCAGCAGCAGGAACGAGAGGCAGAACCTTTCCCATCCTTATTAAACCCTTTCCCCCTGCCTTTTTTTTCCAGGAACATGATACCTGTGTTTGTGCAGATGATGCTGTGGGTTCTTTCCTCACCAACCAAAGTGGATTAAAAGCTAGTGCTGCTTTTCCTGAGGATAGAAGGCATCTCCCCCGTATCCACATCTGCCCTGATTCCTCAGATCATCCTTCTTGCCCTGAACAGCTTCACGCTCCCCCAGATTTGGGGCAGTGCCTAGGTACAACAGGAGTAGCAGCTTGGTTGTCCCCTCGTCTATCCAGCCGGTTAGAAATCGGTGAGGAAAGAGGTGAGGAAAGAACGAAAATGAGCCAGGCTAGAGCTGGCAGGGGATCCTGCACAAACTGCTGTGGCTTTTCTTCCTGGAGCTTGGGACTGAGCTCTGCCAGGGACACAAGGGACTGGGCCACACAAGGGACTGAGGCATTTTGCTCCACCTAGCTCTTTTGGGGGCACAGTGGGAGGCTCAATCGGCTGTTTCTGAGAAAGAGAGTCACAGGCGGGACAGTTCTTGGGCACTGCCAGAAGTAGGGTCTCCAGTAGCTCCAAAGACGGCGTGTGGGAGTGTGATTCCTGTGTCTGACAAGAGTTTCTAGAGCAGAAGCTATTTTTTTTACCCACCCAAGGAACATGAGTAGACAGGGTCTCTTATGACAGTGCTTTACAGCCTTGTAAATAAAATGTGAGTAAAGAAGTAGCAGAAGTTTTAGTTTCCCTGCCTTCATAGAAAAGAGAGAAAGAACAAGGCGGGACAAGAAAAGCAAATGTAAATGGGGAAGGAGAGAAGGAATCCTAGGAGAACACTTCCTTCCTCCCCAATGGCCTGTGGAAATAAGAGATGCAGAGGGCAGACAGCAGTAGGGACACGGAGATGGCTCTCAGCTGCCTCCTCGTAACCGCAGCCGCCCTGTCTGCTTCTCTTCTGCAGTGTTTTATCCATGGGCCAATGATGCAAAATCTGGTTACTGCTCCTTGCACGGGCCTGTCTGGAAAATGAGCTCACTTACCCTTTGCAGCTCTCCTTGCCAGTTCACAAGATGGTCCTAAACAGCTGGTCGAAGGATGGGCAAGAGATACGAGGTATCAGTTACCCACCAGCATCACGTACAAGGGCAGAGTGTGGTTTTCTGTCTGCCTGATTTGCCCATTTGAGGGTCCTCACTGAAATGCTTTGTCCATTTTTGCATAGAGAAAGAGCTGTACTCCACATTCTGGTCCTTTCAGCTCCATGCCATTTGGGAATTAAAGCCCTGTTTTTTTTAAGTAGAAAAATCACAGGATGCAAAATTTAACCATAGGCAGGAGATGGCCCTTGGGGAACGCATTGTCCTCCCTGATCGCTTCCAATAAACCCACTTTTATAGCAGAGTTGGACTCCACAAAGGTAAAAAAAGAAGCTGCGCGCGAGGGACCTTGGAGCACTGCTTGGAGCTCCAGAAGCGCCAGCAGCACAGCCGGCTCCGGGAAGTGGGATGAGGCCGAAAGCAGCACGTGAGGGCAGCAGAGCACTGCACGAACGCAGCCCCGCCACTGCGCCCAGCACCTTCACCTGCCCGCCCAGGTAAAGCAGCAGCCTGAGTTCACAAACTCCCCAGTTTGATACTTAAAAAGCAAATAAAAATCAGGAAGTTCCTGCCCAAATGCTCCAATACCCAAGTGAGGACAAGGTGGGCGGGTGCACTAGCAAGTGTGGGGAAACTTGGGGCCACTTGGAGATGGTTTTACAGTGAGTCAGGTTTTGGGGTCTTCCAGAAGATCTGTTATTAATGCCAACATTTGCTTCCAAGCCACTGCGTAACATCTTCAAAGCTTTGAAAGTCGCTCTGGCTCTTCTGTTAGAAGGAAATGTTAAAGCCAAGACATCTACTTGGCACAGACTTCAAGGCACAGCAGGCAGAAGTTACTAAGAGTGAAGGCAGAAATGGGAACTGCTACCCATTTTCCGTGATCCGTTCGCTAACAATCAGAGTCCTTTTAGTGGCCTTTGCAAGGACAAGGTCCTGTGGGCAAGAGGGAGAAAGACCAGCATCAGGATCAGTTCAATTTGTAAACAAATGACAGTATAGCCAAGAGCAAGGAATGCTGCAACATTGTCCCTCACTCCCCTTTTAGACCGTGGGTCTTTCTTATGCTGCTCAAAATGAGCTGTGAGTCCAGCCGAGGTCCAGTTCCCACCATGAACTGAATTCACTTACATGCTTCAAAATTAAGCTCTTCCAATTTTAAGCAGAGCCTTGATATATCCATAGCTTTGGGCCAGAGAACTGTGCAACATTCTGGGGACAAACAGGGTCACTCTAGAAATCCGGAGATGAAAAGGGTCAATTCCCCAAGCTGAGTTATAGCGCTCACCCCAAAAGGCTTTAAGCGGTGCCGGATAACTGGGGATTGATATGTGGACGTGTTCAAAAGCTGTGACAGAGGAGAGCTCAGCCCGGGCCAAGAGAAGCCACCAGATGAAGGGAACTGTTTTGCGTGACGGTAGCATTTTGTTGTGCGGCACAAGTCGTCCCTGTGAACTTCTCTGGCCTTCCAGCTCTGGAGTTTGAGCAATGCCAACCTGGCCAAGCTGCCAATGTCCTTTGCAGCCCTGCAAGAGATGGGCTGTGGTTTCCCGGAAGAGCTGGGATTTCCAGCTCCCAACAGTGTGATCCCACAGGGAATGCCCCTGGGCAGGGGGTTACAGGACATAGCAGAATATTGGTCTCTCAGGTCCTTTCTCTTTAATACACATCTTCCTTCAGAGATGAAAGTCCCCGTGAGGTGTCCCAGGGCTGCTTTGGGCCTGCTGCAAAGCCACCCTGCTGGGCAGGACAAGGGACATGGTGGGGGGTGGCTCAAAGCAGCTGCAGGGGAAAGTGGTGCCGAGGATGGGTTGTGCAGGGGCCCATTCAGCAGCTCTGCACAAACACGTCCCTGCCGCAGTGCTCGGTCTCAGCTCTCGGGACCTGGGAGCTGGCGGTTGGCAGCCCGGAGCTGACCTGAGCTCAGCTTCTGGGCGCTGGCCTGACTGCGGCCACGTTCCCGAGCTCAGCCCGAGCACTGTGCAACTATCAGCCTTTTCCCGCGGGATTTGCTCCATGCTGTGAGGTGTTTGAGGAGCGCCCAGCTCTGTGTCCACTGGCAGCTCCTGCGCTTTCCCTGCCCCATGCAGTACCGCGCGCTCGGCACATCCCGGTGGCCTCAGCAAGGACACTGGAACCGCCACAGGCCCTGAGGTGCCAGCTCTTTGCAGCAGCCTTCACTGTGCCAGCCCCTCCTTTTGCAGCCCTTTCCTTTGCCCCTTGTGTCTTCCGCACAGACACGGCACCCGGAGATTAAGCTGCGGATTAAGGTTTTACTGAATCCTGAAACAGGCTCCGATTCCCAGGCCTGGCGGCACTAATGTGCGGCCAAACCTCCCCCGTGTGCTTGCCAGGCCGCGGCAGCGAGAGGCACTTCCCGCCGCCTGCTCTCCCCGGGCACGAGGGAGGGGACCCAGGTTTTCGCCCGGGCTTGTTTGCTGAGCGGCAGCTGCTGGGGAAGAGCAGCTCTTCCTGGGAAGGAGAGTGGGGGGCGAAGGAAGGAGCTGGGGCTGGTTCACAGGTGGCTTCCTGGAGAGACAAGGAAGCTGCTGCTGATGGAGTTACCTGGGTGCAGGGGCCTCCGGGCCATCTCCAGCACCCTGAGCCTCTTCAGAGCATCCCCCTGCATGGCAGCTCCTGAGGAGCCTTCCCTGCTTCCCGAGGCTTCTCCCGGCGAGGCTCCCTGTAGGCTCGTGGCCTGAGTGCCCAGAGGGGCCCTGCCTGGCTGGGCTTCTCCAGGGCCCCCGTCCTCCGGCACCAGGGGGATTGGGC